GATCATACTGAAGCACTTCCCATTTTTCTCAGAAATACCTTTTGTGGAATTGACCATCATGAAATAGAGTCTGTCACAGCTACTTTATAAGTTCTGTGCTTGATATTGTGTAGTTCCATTTTAAAAGCAATTTCTAGGACTGAGCTAGTATATACCAGTCTGCCCTGCCACAGAAGCCTGTATAGAAACCAGGTGAGGTTTTTTTTTTTGCCATATTTAGATTTAACTAGCATTTCCATTGGAAAATATATTTTAGTTGGTAGGAATCTAAACTTTTCTTAAATTCAAATTAAGTCAGTAAACTTTGGTGACATTAAAGATGGTAGTTTCATATACTATATATATTTTTTTCCTCTCACTTCCTTTAAGAACACAGAAAATTTATGAACATATATTTTAAAATTATTTGTGTGCTATATCTCATTAATCCTATACTCTATAAAAAGAGAACTTTGTGAAGGAAGGACTACTAACATGCAAAATTGCTTTTGAAGAAGAATAAACCACAGTCTGAGAGAGAAGGGATGAATGCTTACAGGCTTAAGGTTGGTTCTTTAACAGCCACACAGTTCTGAGGTTAGCCCACCAGATGTTCATGCCATTCTCACGAATCAGGAGAAGTTCAAGTTTATAAAATATGCCATTGGTTATTCCCAAGTCTCAGTTTTAACCAATGGAAAATAATGTTCCTAGAAATAAAGGTTGGCCATGGTGGGGTTAGCTTGATCATGGTTGTAAAAGGTATGCATATCATGTCTCTGCTATCAGAGTCCCATGAACAGATGAAGACAGAATGGTATCTCCAGGAGAACAGGATTAAACACATCATGGAATTGAGTGAAGTAGCTAGCACGTGGTTGGCACTAAAAGGCCTCAGCCATGCATTTAGTTCTTTAGTCCTTTCCTGGTTCTTATTTTACTTGTGTATATAAGATGAAACAGCCAGGTTCCAGCTCTTGGATATTATCTCCTGTTTATTAATGGGTTACCAACTTTATTTGAGGCATGAACTACATGTAGAAAGTGTTTGACTCAGTTTGCCACAGAATGAATGAAAATAGTGATTTCTGATAGAAAATCAGGACTGTCCCAATATCATCTAGAAATGCTGAAAATAGTTAATAGTAGTTGTTTATATTTATGGTCTTTTGTTGTTTAGTTCACAATGCATCACTTCAACAAATTTCTGCCATCCCTGCCCCGTGCTACATCTCTCCCTAGTTCATTCTCTCCCTTCTCCCACACCCTTTCCTTTTATCCTTTGTATGTGATAAATGTTTCTCAGAGTTACACCCAATATTCTCACATAGGATAAAACATGAACACAATTCACCTTGGGATAGAAAGTGTGTGAATACACCACAAGATGAGTATAAAAATCTGTTGTGTAACATTGAGCCTGTACTTAAGAACTCTGATGTGGAACACTCACACACTTGTTATCAGACTCGATCTTAGGATAAACACTCTTATCAAATCAAAAAGACAAAGAGAAGCAGTAAATCTAAAACAATGTGAAAATGAATGAAGGGAGGTAAGAATAGGTGAAAAATGGTGAAGACCAGAGAATAATTCTACATCTGTAAAAAGATAGATGCTCAGAGAACCATGGGTGAGAGCAAAGAAAACACACACAGATACATTGGAGAGTATCATGCAAAGATATCATTTATTAATAAGTAGTTAAGTGTGTTATAGGTAATAAATTCCACCGGCAGTAATGTCCTGAGTGCTGCTCATCTGGTGGATACTGGAGGAGGCACAAGTGATGAACAAGTGAGGAATACAGTTGCCAGCCCTGCCCTCATGAGGCTTCTGTGCTCAACACGGATACTGAGCTGATTCTTATCTATTTTCCCTGCCTGCCATTATCTTTCTCCTAAACTTTCTGATGACAACATCTCCTGCCTTGCAAGCTAACTAACTGGGGGATTTCTAGTTGGTTTCCTGTAAGCCACTAGAGGTGATAAGAAATGGTCAGAAATAGAAATCAATATGCCAGTTCCCTGGAGTTTCCTTCATCCTTATTCTTGTCCTGGCCACAGCTACTGTCTCTGCTCTACCTATCCTCTAATTCACTCCCATCTCCAGCTCTTTCGGCTTCCTGTGTCATGAGCTGTCTCTTTTCTTGCAGGTGATAATGGGTTCTCACTGCTTCTGATCTATGGAAGCCCCTTTGCTGTCCCCTTTTGCTTCCACTTATGACATTTACAGATCTTCAACTTGACTACTCCTGAGTTTTTTCTAAAACCATCTGAGTTGTAAATCTGTTTAGCAGCCTTTAGGTTTCTGACTGATCAAGACTCATAGTTAAGTACCAACACACCAGTATAAATAATTCAAAGTTCCATTAGGGATACTGTAGGAGAAAATACATATCATTTTTGAACACAGAAATATAAGTGTAAGTTATACACATGGTCTCTTTAAGAGAGCAATGAATGATGGCTGATGTGGAATTAACAAGAATGTTTCTGCTCTAGAAAAGAACAAAACAAAACGCCATGAGACCATGTGTCAAAATGGAATAGTGAGAGCACCATTCTGGAATCCAGACAAGGACAGTCCATGAGGGACACCTGGTTAAAGCACACTATGCACACGCAGTGAGAAGCAGATTATGCCCTGTGTCAGGTCCTGAATGACACTGTGTAACAGATAGTGTCACTCTAGAAGAAAGGCCCACTAGGGCCCTGAGCATCAAGAAAGTGGACAGCAGCTTGTGTGAGGTGTGAGGAACTGTTCTGACAGTCAGTGGAAAGCACAGTGTTCATGTTGGGAGTGACCACTGTGTGGCTTCTTGTGATGCCAGGGAGGGATTCAAACAGGTCAAAAGGTCCCTTTCAGTAATTTTCTTTCCATGTGGTAGCAGGAGACTTTTAAGTACTGGTATATTTCCTTATAATATATTTCCCTTCCATCACCATAATTCATAGAAAGAGTATCAAACATGTGTGTGTGTGACAGAGAGGGGGGGAGAGAAGAGCTTCCTCACTAAGGCAGTATGTCATTTTTTAAACCTTCTTTTAAAGTTATTTATTTTGGTGAGTGGGAACAAGAAAACCACTGGGATGTTGGAGAAAATAAAGATTCGACAATATAAATGACTTGAACTTCTGGGTGCCACCCAGAAGGATAGACTCTAAGCACCAATTTGCTAAGCATATTCTAAGCTTTCCCCACCAAACACATCTAACTTATTAAATAACCTGCCTCGGGAGAGACTCTGTGTTAGTTTTTCTCTATAAATCGAGTTTTCTAATCTGTTTTACAATATGACCCCTTTCTGGTTTTGGCGTTAGCACAATTTTTGGCATTTAAGAATTATTTAACTGCAGGACATACAAAAGCCTTTGAAATCCCATTGGAAAATATTATTTTTCCATTTATCAAGATTAAGTGTCTGACTTTGACTGCTCCCAGGCAAATGGCAGGAGCAACAGAGTTTAGAGGTATCATCCAGTCTCATGCGCTTTGGCTTTGGAAGAGTTCCTTGGGCACCTGACCCCCAACACAAGCATTTTTATTCCTTAAATTATACTTCTATTTGTGGAATAATTTTCTTAACGTTTGGGTTACATAGACTTTCATTTTGTTTTCTGTCTACCATGATCTCAAATGTGAGTGGAAGTGTACAGACATGTTATCACAATCTGTCTTAAAATTACAACACATGGTACTGATGATGTTTCTCCACAAACCTCTAGTTGAATCGCTAATATTTACTAATATTTTCTCCCTCCATGGGCTTATCCTACTGTTATTCAGAAATCCACACATTTCTGAAACATGTGTTATCTCCATATAATTCTGTGGGTGTTAGTTTAGCACCACTGAAGTTAAACGGTTAGTAACTCTGATAGAGATGCATTTTATACAAATTATAATTATAGATCTAGAAAGGACCCTGAGGTCTTCTCATTCTAAAAAAAACAACACAGTAGTTGAAACAAGTCCCAACTCTATAATCAAACACCATTAGAACTGCACTCCTGTGACACATGCTAAGACCCACACTACAGCATTAGTCAAAAGCAATACACAGCACAGAGTTTACGAATTCAGAAACCATGTCATTCAGACCGGCCAGCATAACAACGTGTTCTCAATCAGCTTTGATTTGGAGAACATTGTGGATTGTGCACATTAACAGCTTTGTTCTCACACTGCTCTTTCAGAAGACAGTGTTGGATCCCTGTAAATACTCTTATAGTTGAAGTCTTAGGGTGTGTGCATATGTGTTTGTATGAGTATGTATGCATGCGTGTGCCTGTAGGAGTCAGAATACAAACTTGGGTGGCTTCTCAAACACTATCTGCTTTTTAACAAGACAGCCTTTCAATGTTCTGGAGTCTGCTGAGTAGTCTACTCAGACTGGCTAAAGGAAGCTGAGGGACACACCTGTCTGTCTACCAGACACTCCATTACAAGAACATGCAACATGCCTGATTTCATTAGGTGGATTCTGATGACCAGACTCTGCTTCTAACTCTTAAATGGCAAGCACCTCCCTAATGGAGGCATTCCACTTGTAGCTTCAGGATTGCACTTAAGTCCTGTACATATTAGGCAAGCATTCTCCCACTGTGCAGTGTCTTATAAGCCCTATAGTCTTCACACTTTCAGTGGCCACACCCTGCACATGAGTAAAGATGGTTCTTTGTCCCTTTCTTCCCCTTGCGTCTATGTGACTGTTGAAGGAAACAGGAGGACAGTGTTAGGATTTTCAGGATCAGTAAATCCTAAGGGGCAGGATCAGTAGAGCAATGTAAAGCTCTCCTGCATTAAGAAAAGCTTCCTTTATGTTAAAACAAATTCCTAAGCATCACTGTGCATAGAAATGACTTAGCAGCTCAAGGGGCCTGGCTACTTGAAAATTCCCAGCCTCCCTTCTTTGAAAAGCACTGTAGTCACCACGGGGCTTCCGGAAAAGTGAAGCCTAGCAAAACGAGTGATCCAAACAGCTGATCGTGTCTAATTATAGACTAATATATACTTACTTGCCAAGTGCAAAGCATTCCATCTTCACAGTTGTGCCCTTAGCAGCTGTGACCGTGAAGGGAAAATGGACCTCAATTTTTGGCTCATATTCTCCCATCACACCTGGGAAATAAAGAATAGGCATCTTTAAGCATAAAATGAATGTTATAGTTTCAAGTTTTGGAGATATTGCATGAAAAATCACTCTGGTTTGGTAGTTAATGTGTGTTGGATGACTGGAGAATTTTTGATATGTTGAACTAAAGAGCACACTTAGGGTCACTCATCATAATGAAATCCTAATCTTCCTATAAGAACGAGGTTATCTACCTGCTCTCTAGATTTTATTTTTAGAATGTGATTCTTTAATGATGTGCATGTGCCTGTATGTGTATGCATTTGCACATGGGAATGTGTATATATGTGTGCCTAGAGGTGCGTGTGTAGGGGGTGCTCATGGAGGCCAGAAAAGGAGATTGGATTCCCTGAAGTAAGAGTTCCAAGGTGCTATAAACTGCGCAACACAGGTGCCAACAACTACACTTGTTTTCTCTGCCTGAGGGCATCAATTACTCTTAACCACTGAGCCCCAGATAGTATTTACACAGTGCATAAAACACAAATAATTCCCCTTGATAAATAATTGTTTTTTGAATATATTAGTAATTTGTTTTGGCATATAAATTAATATTTACTTTACAATGTATGTATTATTTTAAATTAAAAATTATTTTTATTAATGTGTAATAAATATGGAAGTATGCATATGCAATAAGTATGCAAGTGTCTGTATTCAGGTGTCCAAAGAGGCCAGAAGTGGGTGTTGGATCCCCTAGAGCTGGAGTTTCAGGCAGTCATGACCTGCCCAACATAGGTGCTGAGAACTGAACTCAGGTCCTTTGGACGAACAGTCAGCATCCTTAACCACTAAAACATTTCTCCTACTCTATTAGCTTATAGTTTTAACTGTGTATCATATGCAAAGCATTTTCTAAGAACTCTGGAAACTATAAAGATTAATTAGTCATCTACTTTGCTCTCAAGCATTCTATAAAGTTATTTTTAAAGAGAAAGCTGTTGTTAAATCAATTAATTAGAAAAGCTATACATCAAAGTGACAAGAAGTGCAAAGGTACATGAATGAGGTATATCCTAAATATTATGTGCAATGAAGTATTTCAGCAAGTGGGAAAAGAAGAAGAAGCTTAAACCCATTTGGGAACCCAGATAGAGAAGAACCATCAGGGATAGAGAAATATGTTTTCCTGGTGTGTTAGTGTGTGGAGGAAAGTAATGGGCAGCTCTGTAAATACAGACCAGAATCCAAGAACAGAAAGAGTCCCTTGATCCTTGAGAAAATATTCAGCCTCTTTCTAATTGAGTTGGCTCCACTGAGACTCTAATTAGATGACAGTTGCAGAGTTGGATGCAGACTGGAGTTTGAGCAGAGACAGTCCAGTTAACCACATGATCTTCATATTTTTAGAAATAACATAGACCCAAATGTTAACAATAATTGAAAGCAGAAGAAGGACACGTAAACATGCCAAACAGAGAAAGAAACAAACGGAGAAACACTCAACACACAATGAATGAAGTATAAGGAAGGGGTCAGATCATCAGGAAGAACATTGTTTCCAGGTTGGGTACATGAAAAGAAAACAAGGCAGAGCTATAAGTTGAAAACTTTCAACATGACTTGCATGCATGAGGCTCTGGGATTGGCATCCACACCACAAGCACGGATTTTGAGAAGTTGCACATATTAACTCTGAAACATAGGACACACAGAAATAAGTTTTTGAGTACATAGCTCACATAATAAATGACAGAAGTAAGAAGCACCAAGTGTGAGCAGTTAGAGGTAGCAGTGGACACCATAAGACTATTTGTGATTTTTCTCAGCTAAAGGTTAGTGTACTAGCTATGGCCTGGTGAATTCTGGGGCTGCTGGCATGAGTTGTCCTTGGTGCTAGTTTCTTCTTGAACATAGGATCAATAAAGCACCAGAGGAAAGTACCAATGCAGTCAATCTCTGTTGCAAGGGAGCTGTGTTTAAAGGTGTTTGTGTCTTTGGATGTGTATGTTTGTAGGATTTTGTGCGTATGACTCCGGCATGCTTTGTTTTGTATTTGTGTAAAATGAGGGGTGAGGGGAAGAGACCAGGATAGTTTTAACCTGACATAAAATATAGAGATACAGGACACAGGGGAGTTATCCCAGGGAAGGTAAATTTTTTTTATGTTTGTTGTGATGAATTGAAGACAAAACTCATAGGGAAAATGTGTACAAGATTAGCAAGTAAGTATTGAAGACTTTAAGATTATTCTTTCATCTTTGTATTCAAATTTGCAAATCATTACAAACTTTACAGCTGAGAAATCATTGATGCCACTGTCATCACCGAGTCTGCTGACAGTCAGCCTGGGACTTCCCAAAGCCATGTGACCTGGACATTTATTTTTCTTATCTCCTAAACTGAGGGATTGTGCAGTACACACTGAGTCTGAGGAACAGCATGTGAGTGGAGACCTCACACAATAGTGTCACTTAACACAGCTGTTTAAGCTCCCCCCACCTGCCTCTTTCCCTCAGTAGTGCTCTCTTACACTGTTTTTCTGAAAGCCTTTCCTTCCATCATTTCCAAAATTTCTTTCTTTTCTGTCCTCCTCCGACTCTTCTTTTCTACCCATTCCAGTGGGATCTGGTGTAAAGTCAGCTGAGTGTACCCAGTGATGTAAAATTATCTCCAATGCCTTGTTTGTAAATGTAGTATCAGGACTCCCAGGCATCCCAATTTCTAAAGCTCAGTTGGTATCATCTTCAATGTCAGTAACTTAAGATAGAATTCTTCAGTTTCCACTTCCTCCCTATTAATTTGATTATTCTTTTGTACCTCAATTATCCTGGTGCAGATTCAATCTAAAGCCTTTAGTTGTCCTCAAGTCCCTTTGAGTTCTGAGAGTTCCTAAGCATCATAAAATATTGTAGAAAAGTGAAATAATTCTCTGCTCAAAAAATATTTCTACATAGTTACTTCTGAAAAGTTCTATAATCAAATCTCAAAAGAAAAGTATCTGAGTCTCCAGTAATTTATTTTGTTTTTTTTCTTATCATAAACAAATATTCCCCTTTGAACACAATTTGATATTAACATAGCATATTCATTTTACTAAAACAGCTAAGATAAAACTATATATTAAAACAAATGAAAAAGGGGGAGTAGGAGGCTTTGAATTAGAATATCTGGTCTAAGCTGAATGATTAGAAAAAGTGCTGCTTTCCTCTAGTTCTATTCTGAGAGCAGTCATACTGGGCACACAAGGAAACACATTATTTATGCTGTGCTCTTTGACAGTTGATTAAATTCAGCAATTAATTTCTACTTTATATTTCACATGTTAAAGTTGACATAGCTTTCACTGTGTAATACAGCTGTAGCTTTAATGTTTCAATTCATGTGCAGCTTAAATACTAAACCTTTATGTTGAACAGGATTTGATGTAGAAAGGAAACAGAAAGGCTTAAGAGACAGTGCATTGAAGATGGAAGTGTGTGGACTCTTTTCTTCAGCAAGGTGCCTTTTGATTCTCTGATCACCCCTGGTATTGACTGACTATTGCCTAAGAGCCCTGTTGTATGCCTTCATGCCTTTGCCCACACCTGTCTCTCCTGACTCACTTGACAGCCTACTTTAGAATTACATGCCATTAACACAACCTCAAATTGCCCCAGTTCCTAATAAATGGATGCCCTCCAGCTGAGAGTCCATTACTCCCCTTCAGAGTCTTTATGGTTGTTGATTTCCTTCTTTATTGTGATTGCTTATGGAGAGCCAGGGCACATTTCCCTAAGTTGATTGCAGTTCAGACCATATTACTGGACAGAAAGCTGATGGCATCAGAAAAATCTGCACAACTTATTAAAATTTTGGAACACAGGATCCAACTCTAAATTGTGAAGAAAACTTTAAGGAGTGGTAAGAGATTTTTCTGGATGCACATTCATAGGACCAGAGTGTAGATGACTAACATTCATGGATGAGTCCCACATGTACTGCAAACATTAGTGATTTACCCTGGTACTAGGGCTGTACAGAGTGGTGTTACTGCCAAAGCTGGGCTTTGTGTGATTTGCTAAGGATTTTTTTCTAGTTGGTCATTCTATGCAATAGCAGTGCTACAAATTTTAGTAGAACCTTATGGCATTCACAATAATACTCATTTCTAGGCTACTGAAGTCATGTGTAGTAATCTTTGGTTGAGCTATGAAGATTTGGCAAATCTTTTATTTATGGGTATATCTGCAGCTTTGTTTACAAAATTTGTGACCGTATTGAATATATTTTTGTTTTTCAAGAATAACAGGTATTTTCTCAGGATTTTTTTCTGGGAACCAATAGCTATATGCCTTTGATAGAATGAATTGTAGTTTAGGCACCATATTTTTATACACTTCCTGCCTTCCAGTTAGAGGTATAACTTAACTCTGGATACTTGACTCAAGTGTGGTCAATCTGATCAGCCTATTGTCTTATTTATCATATAGGCTAATTGCAGAATGGGTAGCTAAGGTTAAGATTTTTTAAATAGAGAGAGAATAGAATCTAAGTTTTTGGTTTTTGTCAGTACCTGATGTTCACTGGACCTTCACTCTATGGAAGAAAGCATCTGGTATTGACACAGTCTAGATATACTTAATTAAATGTGTGAGCAGAGGGAGATAAAAGTGATTACTGTCCCACATATGTATTCAAGGTGTAGTCTCCTGTTCTTCTCTCACCAAACAAGGAGAATAGGAAAGCCTTAGTGATTCCAGTTTGGGGGTTTTCACTTCATCAACAAGAATTGAGCAATGTATTACATGCAAAACAAGAGATGGTGACCCAATTTGAGGTTCTAGCTCTTCTTGGTAAGAATCTGAAGTAACCATATTTAAGACACTATTCTAGACAAATTATAAGAAGGGGGTGATAAGAACCTGGTAAAGCAAGATAATAGGTTTACTCTATTTTAAAGCATTTTGCATTTTAGTAGATAGTTTAATTTCTAATGCAATAGAAAGCTCAAGCTACACAGACACTATTATAGATGGTAAGTGCTAGAAAACATTAAAGATGGGGT